GGCGAGGGCTCTGTAAAATATGAACAGCATACAACAATTCAAATAAGTTTCTTTGCTAACCCACCAAAATTATTGAAAATTCTTGATTATAAATAAGAGTACAAGTTTTCAAACAATTTCACAGATAGATCAATTCTTTATTTTAAGAACCTCTCGTATTTGCAATTCTTTACTTAGCTTAAAACATGAAAAGTAGCTGTCAAGATATATAGCTTCTGCTGCTTCAAGAACAATGCATCTTTGTAGGCGAGGTTGTCCCCGAATCTGCTATAATGGCGCATCCTTCCAAAGCTGATATTGTATTAGTATCGTTGTGACACAGTTTGTCTAGCGCTGCTGCTAGGCGGAAAGGTCCTCGGGGCAAAGGTAATCACGGGTCCCCAATTTGCGTGGTTGCTTGAAATGGTTGAAATTTTCATCTTTTTTTAAAACCTTCAGGGTTTTTATTGGAAAAGCCTTACCTGGGAGCGATTCTGCCGTAGAGTACCGAAGTGTGACGTCACCAAAAATGTTTTTTAGAATTTCTTAAATTTGACCACATAATCTGAAAGGACAGCATAAAAGACCCCTTAGAATGCAAAATCAGTTAGATATGTTCAAAATTGGGCGAGATATAGCCAATGGAAGGTTTAAAGTTTGCTAACGGATTACTGTTATTCTGGCCTGGTTGATAAAGTTATGAACCAAGACCAAATTATAGAGGTTTGATGGGGCAAGATTATGTGCTCATGTGGCCATATCTCAGCCAATTCGTAATTCCTTTAACTGATTTTGCAGATTTAGAGATATTTTGTGATACTCTTTCAGGTAATGGAAACAAATTTCAAAAAGTCTAAAAATAGATTTTTATGACGTCATCACTTCGGTACTCTATAAGATAGATAAGATGGATCAATGAGAAAATATGAATTCCTTAAATAGATTATAAGTACGTCGTTAAATACGAATACAAATACATTATAATTACATAACTTTTACCAGGTCCTCTAGACAGAAGATAATGAAATTCCTTTTTTGATCAAAAATTATGATTAGGCACTCATTAATTTGCATTGAAATAAATAAGGCCATGGCTACCTCCTTTTTGTGACTTCGCACCTTAAAATTGATTTGATTATTGCTACAAAATTTCTCATGAACATCAACCATGGTTATACTTAGTGCACATCATAGGTATTTGTTGAATTGTTTATTTTCAAACAATCTAATTCCGTAGTTTTTAAAGTTTATAAGACAAATTTGATAAATTGATAAATTTCGAGAACGTGGAAGCCGGTTTGACTCTTGTAAGGTACATTTGAAGCTTCATGTCACACAATGGGGTTCTTTTTCAACAGAATGAATCCGTTTTCTTTATCTGTAACCCTCGGGGTATCTTTGATTGTAAACTAATTGGGATGTGTCAGTGTGAAAAGGTGTTGGTACATAGGACCCATAGTTCTGTGCCATGCTATTCCAAATTCCTCTTTGTGGCGCTTTTCTTATATCATGTAAAGGGTTACCTACATTTTTCTCAATTATCTGCTAGAGTAGTTAAATTCAGTGCCTGTATGCTTATACCACAGTTCTATATCACCAATAGGGATTTATCATAAACGACACCTGTGTATCAGATGAATTTTCACATGTAATCTACTTTTATATAAGTGAAAAGTTAAAATGAATAAACATTAAATCGAGGGTCCTTTTTAAACCGGCCTTCGGAGAAGGAAAACACTCCTTAATTTAACAATGGAATTATTTTCTTTTTTGCTTATCATGTATAGGCCTCTCTCGCGAGTAATCATGTGTGTCCTGCTTTATCACATAATAGTTTTTTGCGTGACTTAAAGTGATTTCGAACTATTCTCGGGTCAGTAGGTTCCATAATAGGGCCAGTCTCGTGTACCTTATCGTGTCTGTATTTGCTTGGAATTTATCCAAATTGGGCCCTCTTGTTTCCCCTTGAGATGCAACCAGACTGATTTTAGCAGGCCGTGACTAGAATTTGAATGTTTTTTATTTCATTATTTAGATTCATATTCAAGTTTGATTAATGATGTAAGCATTATAAAAAAACAGGTTTTTTTGACCTGCAAAAGCATGCTTGCTAGGTTAGTAGTTAAAAAAGAATAGGAATCAGCTAAACAGGTTATTTCAGGTTCCACAAATAGGCAGCATGCAACAAGACAACTAAAAGAAGCTAGTGTTAATCTTCTTGCAATTAGTGACACAAGTTGCTTGTAAATTGCACCAGTTAAATGTCAATTTTTTTGGAACGCGAAAAAAGTTTACGCCATCTGGGCTTAATAATCTTTTGTTGGAAATATTATCTCATTTTATATGAAAATGGGTTCGTATTATTGTGTGGCATAATGTCTTATCGCGTTTTTCTTAAATCTGTACTCTTGACAATAACAGTATTCTGGCTTTTTACCGTCATTATCACAAGAATCATCGGCATTATCATTTCTAATTTTCTAGCTATTCAATTGTACTAAATTCAAACTTCTTGACCACTATGTCATGATTTGCGGGCCCTCTGCTAGCCTTACATACCGGTACAAGAATTCTCATCTTGTGTACCCTTTTCAATATAATTCCGTCAAATGTTTAAATTATACTTTGGTTTTCAGATTTATCGTCGATTGGGTGGTTTAAAGATTGATTGGTATCTCTAAGTAGTTTTTTAAATTAGAACATCTTAGAGATATGCGGTCCTTGAGCTAGAGATATTGTCGTATTGTTATAAACAAAGGCTCGCATTTCGTGCTTCTTGCTGTAATTATTAATAGAAGTTATCTACTTATCTATTTATCTACTTTATTTTTGCTAATGCTTATCCCGGGTTGACGTCATAAGCGAAGCATTTCTAAGAAAGGGCCTTTCTCTTTTTTCTAGAAAGTATAATTCCAAAATTTATTTTATCACTATTCGGCCGTGTCATTTACTATGCCCCCCCCCCCCCCCCCTTGCTATCTGGCGCAGATAATGTAAAAGGGTACACCATGATATAAATCAACTCAACGAAGACTTTTGAATAATGGTTCACTTCCTTCTGTTACTATCAGATTCTTTTATAATTGTACTATCTGTGAAATATTGGGAGTATCATGAAAATATCCAATTTTGACGTTATATTAGTTATGGTAGATGTGTGACGTAACTGCAGAAGTCGGGCTTGGGGGAAGAAGTCCTATATGAAGTGGTTCTTGTCGTGTTGCGCTCTGCTCAGCACACTAGCTTATTCATTGAAACATTCGATACCTGAAGGATAGTTGTCATTGATGTTTGTTAATCAAGATTCTTTTGCTGTTTGTTGAATTGGTGTCGTGACTTTTTTATCCATCACATCTTCTTCGGTTTGATCCGTAATTTTCTGTGTGAATATGAAATTCAATATGACCAACGAAAATACTTATGTTACAATTTGTGAATTTTTGGGAACTGTTGGTTTCAGACTGTTTACAGTTACTACTGCGGTAGGTGCCATGCGTCGAAATAAAAAATCAAAGTTCTTTCTTGTGATGTTCATCCTATCTTGACCAACTGTGTAAATAAGCAATAAAGTTCGTACTAAATCGTTCTCAAAGTTCTCAATTCGCGATGACACTGTCCTAGAGAGAATCAATCTATTTGGTTATTATACAGCAGCGTAACAACTACACTCGTTTTTTTGTAAGAGCCAAAAAATTTGAGTTCAGGCTGATTGTTCTTAATTTTTTCGAAAATCTGAGGCTGGATTGTTCTTAATTTGTTCTTAAATTTATAGGGTATAAGCAGTGCGATTTCTAGCTTTTCGTTCTGGGGAGGTGTTCAGGCCTCTTTTGCTAACTAAGTGCGTGAGACAACCTTCATTTGCCGCCATGTTTGAATATTCACCGAAAAAGCACCCATATACGGCTAAAATTCCCGTTTTTGAGGTAAAACGTTGTTCAAAATTTCATTTTACAGTGCACTCATTTTTTATAAGAAACTGGCTATAAGAAACGAGTACTGGACAGTCAGAAAAAATTAAAAACTTCTGTACTCGAAGCAAAAAATTTAAGAAATTATTAAATCGTCATAAAACTGAGAACAACGAAATTTTTTAAAATCCATAAACAAGATTGCCCTGTTGGCCTAGAACTTAAGACACAAGGGATAAAAATATACTTCCCACATCTAAATACAGCATAGGAACGGAAGCGAATCTCTTGACGTGATAAAAAAGGTCACGAACATTTCATAACATCATTCGTGACATCATAATTAAGAAACTCTTAAGAAACAATGAGTATTGAAATTTCCAGAACATTGAGAAACTGGAGTACTCAACATCGACCTTTATTTCTTTTTTTTCTATAAGAACAATTTTATAAGAACACGAGCCTCAAAATTGGTCAAAAGTTAAGAACAAATTAACAACAAGCTGAGGCTGAGCTTTTGTAAAATACAATTTTGAACAACGTTTTTTCTCAAAATCGAGGATTTTTAGCGATGTGTGGGTGCTTTTTAGGTAAATATTGTTGCAATTGAAATTTTAGATCAAAAATTCAAGATTTTCAGAGAAACATAGCTTTTAAAATATGACCGGTTTTTTTAAACCTGTGCAACCGGTCTAGATCCGCGCCTGTGAGAATTGAACATGTTCCCCCAGTCCAGGCACCGTGCACCATTTTAAAAGTGGGTGGGCTGAAAAGGGCGTGACCGAGAACTTTTTTTGGTTACGCCCTTTAGAACGCCGGAAAACGCCCCTTTTAAAAAATACTTGCTTCTTTCCACTTATTTTTTATAAACAGTCTATTTCCGAGAAGATAACAATTACTATAAAGATAGATTTAACAAGATAAGACACCAAGAAAATGAACCAAAATGGGTTGAACATCAAGAAAATGCACGAACATCAACAAGCAATATTTCAGTAAAATTGATATTAAGCAGGGGGGGAGGAGGGTTTGGGCTATAAATCGACCAAGGAAGCCTCGCGAAAAAATATTTAAAATAATAGAAAACGTCGAAGGGAGGGGGGGTTTACTTTTCGGCATTAACAAAGCCCCTCCCCCAGCTTTACAGTACCATTTTCTAGTGTTGTGTAAGTTTTGTCAATTAAAAGCCTGTCACGGTGTTGCTTGGTACTCATTTGGGCGAGTTAATATTTCTAACAAGGGTAATACAAGGTCCAACAAAATCTTTTGTCAAACTAGACTATGGAACCGTTTAGCCGATATTGTACAATCGCAGGACAATGTATACAAATCTTCGGTTCTCTTGAAAACATCGTAAGAAAGTTCGAAAGTGAAACGTTCCTGATTCTGTCCGCAATCTGTTTGAATGCTGTAGCTAAAAAAACTGCTTCAGACAGCGGGAACATGGCTCTTGGATGCAAGCTGACGGTGAGCATATGGGCTCGCGTCCCTTGGAACAGGCTTCTCTGACGACATGCCAGTTTTATTAGCAGCGTCAACAGCACCCGATGAAAGGCTGTATGCTTCAACAATGCTTTGTATGTCTGAGCCAGTGTAAAACGTCATCTTAGTGATACGTTGCTGATGTTTCCTAATTTCCTCTGTCTTATTGTTGTGGCTTCTAATCCGCCCTATCTCTCGCTGGATCGGCTACTTACATGAATAGAGGGAGGAGCAGTCATTAGAGCAAGTCGCATCACCAAGATTAACAATTCCAATTTTCATCCGTTTGGAGAATAGCTGTGGCTTCACTCAATGTACCAAGGAACTTGTGTGGACCCAGTCAGTCGTATCCAGCAGCCAGAGATCTCTGAGCCTTCAGCACAAGAAGGCTAGGCCAAATACGTGTTAGATTGTGATCTGGAACTCCAGAATGGACAGAGTAGCGTGGTACAATAACCTGCCAACCTTCAGAGACTCATATCAGCAGGGTGGAATGGCACATCAAGCAGCCATGGGTTACCATCAGCTTCCTTCTCTGCCAATGCAACTTCCTTACGGTAAGCAAACTTTCCTCTTTTCTAGCGGAATAGACGTTTCTTGTTTGTCACAGTTCGAGTCACAATTTACAACTAAAATAGTGTTATTGTCAAGTCAGGGTTTTATTTGTTATCATTTTGTTTTGAGAGTACACTTAATTTGAAATTAGCTAACAAAGCGGACCAAGAAATTGATTTAAAAAGCAAATCAAGTGTTGTTTGACTTGCAGTTAGCTAGATTCCTGTTGCCTGATACATATGGTCCTTATGTTACATGCTCTAAACATTGTTGCCAAGGGCAAATTTTCTAGAAATCGTTGAACCTTGTTGTTAACCTTCAATTCCTTTCGTGTGCATATTTAAAATATTTGATTAAAATGTCTGATATCACAAGAAATACCAGAGATAGCTGTAGATTGGGGGAACTGCACGAATTCCCTCCAGAAAGATGCCACACGAAGCCGGAGGATCGAAATCAGTTTTCGCTTACTGCTGTCAGTTACAGTTTCGGGCGATTATCACTAATTATACCTTTTCCCTTTCTGTCCTTACGTAAGTCCTTTACATAGATACAATTTCCATCTGGCGAGCGAAGCAATAAACAGAACAAATCATCCATTTGATTTAATAGCATTTAAGGATTAGGGTGACCTAAAGAAGCTTACAGGATATTTTGTGGCTTACTGTTTTGTCTTGAAGAAAGTCTTACTATGGATTATGTCTTACTTAGTAACGATAAGACTTGAGTTTAAGGGGGCTAATCTTTCTTTAACTGTCTAATTTAACAACATTGACCTTGTGTTATTGCAATCGAGATTGTATGTTCAAAGGAATTTTTTAGCGATAACACCACTAGTGTTTCAGTTTTGGTTCTGCTTTACATTCCTGTTCATTGCTTTCACCAAGTATTCCTTTAAGCGAAATAAGATAATGCAACTCAAACGCTAGTTATATGTGCAATTTGAAAATATTGTTGTATAAAAAATTGCTGGCTGACATCTAACAGAATAGTGTCCGATGTTTACGTGTTTACGTGGATACAGGAAGATAAAAAAGCCCCGTGTGTTTGATAAACAGCTAGACAATATTTCTCTATATTTGAAATAAAACCTGTTTCCACAGAAACATCCAAACTCTGAGGTATCTCGGGTTTACACTCTTTTTTATAAGAACACAATTCTCAAAATTGGTCATAAGTTAAGAACAAACTAAGAACAAGCTGAGACTGAGCTACTGTAAAAAGCAATTTTAAACAAGGTTTTATCTCAAAAGCGAGGATTTTTAGCTGTATATTGGTGCTTTTTCGGTGAATATTCAGACTTCTCGGCAAATGAAGGTTGTGTTGGCAAATGCAGCCTGGACATCTCCCTAGAGCGAAAAAGCTAGCAATCGCATAACGACTGGCGCGAAGGCAATCGCACTGCTTGCACCCTATTAGTTTAGGAACAAGTAAAGAAAAATCCAGCTTCAGATTTTCGAAAAAATTAAAAACAATCTGCCTGAATTTAACTTCACTGGTTCTTATAAAAGAGTGTAATTGGCAGCGTAGGGGCCTAGAGTTAGAGGCAGCGTTGACAGAGAGGTCTTTATGTTTATCTTCCATTTTTTATGTATATGCAGAAAGAAACTGTCTACTTCAGATAATTATTTTGTACACAATCTAATATTTTTTGAAGTGTTTCAGTTATTTGCATTCATAATTTGTCACGCGCTAAATGATAATGATTGCTTCTGGAGACTGTATATTTGGTTTTTGAATTTACTAACAGGGGGCTCTCTGCGTGTGGTGATAGTTCTGGCGTCAAATAATACAACTAGACAAGCAATTTTATTTTAGCTGAAGTGTTCATACACAGCTTTTTGTACCAAACCCAATGTGCCACAAATACATAATATCATTACTTGCTAAGTGCATCCATTTTCATAAGAAACATTTCAAAATCCTTTTACATGACTTTTTAAAAAGTCTACACTCTTTTTCATTTATAAGAATATTGTATATGATAATATTAAGGCTCAAAATATCGGATTTTTATAAATATTACAAGAATATTGCTCGGCCTGAACATGCGTATTTATGTCTCATTTCTCAGCAGTTGTCTGTTTCGGGATATTCAAAACAGAGAATTGCAGAATTGACATTCCTCGTTTTTCCAAAAGCGTGGTTTTTATTCAAGAGCGGGCGAGTTGCCTCTAAAACTATATCAAATTTGAAAAAAACGTTCAAAATATATTCAGACTCAGAAAAAAGATTTCTTTTAAGAATATAGGCTGGGAAGTTTAATAGTATTTTGAATAAAAAGGAGGGTACTATTGAATAGTAAAGTGAGTTTTCTTCAATACGAAAAATAGATTTTTACCCAATTTACTACCACCAGTTGATATAAAAAAATATCATTTAGCTTTTTCAAGTTTACGTCTATATTGAAAGAAACCAACAACCTTTGCCGCAGAAACTTAACATGTATTTTAAAATAACAAAGAACGATAAAAATTTCATTTTATTTGCGTAAATATCATCGATATGATAGAGTATACGCTATTTCTTTCAAGAATTTAAATGGAACAGAAGTTTAAGTTCAAATCAAACATTGAATTTTTTATAACACATCATCAAATGTTTATTTATTGTTCTGTTTCATACAGGATTATGTAGCAAGTTTCTAAAGTTTGAATATACGAGCATAGAATTTCCTTTAAAGGGTTCTAGAATGAAGGTTCACCTCCTCAATAATAAAAAGAAAAGGAAAAGTCGTAACTAACACTTCATTTCGTAACTTTGCCTTGAGTTTAAGTTCAGGCTGACTGTTCTTAACTTTTTTTGAAAATCTGAGGCTGGATTGTTCTTAATTTTTTCTTAATCTAATAGAGTGTAAGCAGTGCGAGTGCTAGCTTTTTCGCTCTAGAGTGGTGTACGGGCCTCATTTGCCAACAAAGTGAGTGAGACAGCCTTAATCTGCTGACAAATTTGAATATTCACCGAAAAAGAACCCACGCATCGCTAAAAATCCTCGATTTTGAGAAAAAACGCTGTTCAAAATCGCATTTGCAGAAGCTCAGCCTCAGCTTGTTCTTAATTCGTTCTTAACTTTTGACCAATTTTGAGGCTCGTGTTCTTATAAAATTTTTCTTATTTTGTGAATGTTTTCTCCAACTGTTTGAAATTATTTCTTTTTAATGAGTTTTATCAGAACTTATAAATAAACTTATAAACAGAACTTATAATGAACTTATAAATAAAGTACTATTTTTGGCCATTTACAACAAATACTTTCCTATGATGTAAAGTTTAAAAGGTTTACAATCTCAAATCAGATTCAGTCCCCTCTCGGGTAGCCCATGGACGATCCTTGAAAATGCTCGATGGTTGGTTGATGTGTTGAACCTTTGAGTCTTGTTTTGAAACTCATCTTTTTTTAAGAACAATTTTATAAGAACAAGAGCCTCAAAATTGGTCAAAAGTTAAGAACAAATTAAAAACAAGCTAAGGCTTAGCTATAATTTCTATTTACAGCAACTTTTCATCTCAAAAACGAAGATTTTTAGCCATGAATAGGAGCTTTTTCGGTTAGATTTCAAACTTGTAGGCAAATGAGGCTGTCTCACTAACTTTCTTGGCAAATGGAACCTTTACACCTCCTTGGAACGAAAAAGCTAGCATTTGCACTGCCTACACCGTTTTACTTTAAGAACAAATTATGAACGACCCAGCCTCAGGAACTCGAAAATATTAAGAACAGTTAGCCTGAACTTGGATTTACTGATTCTTAAAAAAAGAGTTTAGTGAAGTTAGTTCCTCGAGTTTTGTCTTTGATAATCTTATAAGAAGATTTTTTTGCATCGTGGTTGTCTGTCATTTGGACTTCTGGCATGCTTCAAATCACCCGCTGTTTAATGGCGATTTGTTCATGTTATCGTGTCTGTCGAACGAATAAAATCTTTCGATTCTAAGCCAGACTTGTTTTAAAACAAAACAAAGATATACTTGATATTTAAAATGGATTGCTTCTTTTACTCCTGCAGTTGTAAAAAAGCCAAAATAACGACGATAAATGAACGTAGTAGAAGGCTGAGAGATATCGCAGGATAGTATTTGTCATTTGTTAGAATGAAGGAATAAAGGCACTCATTGTACAGTCAAATACAGAAAACTCGAACCTCCAAGGGACCAGTAAAATGGCTGGAGATAGGGAATGCTCATAGATATGAGAATGCTAGAGTTATCTGGGGGTAGGGGAGTTATCATATGAAAATATTTGGCAAGGGGAATGCAATTTCAGTTCCACTAAGCAAATTCTCGAATTATCGGGGTTAGATTTATTTGGAGTTTATTTAACCTGTTTTCAAAGTCACTATACGCTCTTTTTTTATAAGAACAATTTTATAAGAACACGAGCCTCAAAACTGGTGAAAAGTTAAGAGCAAATTAAAAACAAGCTGAGGCTGAGCTTCTGCAAATTGCAATTTTGAACAACGTTTTTTCTCAAAATCGAGGATTTTAAGCGATGCGTGGGTTCTTTTTCGGTGAATATTCAAATTTGTCAGCAATTAAGGCTAGCTCACTCAATTTGTTGGCAAATGAGGCCTGAACACCTCCTTAGAGCGAAAAAGCTAGCAATAGCAATGCTTACACCCTCTTAATTTAACAACAAGTTAAGAACAATCCAGCGTCAGATTTTCGAGAAAATTAAGAACAGTCAGCCTGAACTTAAATTTACTGGTTCTTATAAAAAAAGAGTGTAAATATATCGAAATCAATAGCGAAATAGAAAAATTGTTCGCCAGCATTACAACTGGGGGCTCAAACCCCGATAGAACCCCTTGCTACTGCATCTCTATCTGTATTGTTTATTTGCCCAAAATTAAATAAATAGAAAAAAGAATTGAAATATAACTTTGAGACATTTCAGCCCCTCGCTTTTCGTTAAAAAGATTACCGCAGCTGGCATTATCCCTCGGTGAGAACTGAGAAGACCTCCTCGGTTTTTTACTGCTAACTGATTAATCAAAATACAATGCGT